AACTCTACCGAACCACTGGCCCACCAGATCTGCAGGTGTGCACTCCTGATAAATAGTATTGGTTTAAAAACCACCAATATAGCTATGATATTTAGCCCATATTGTGCACCTCTACTAGAGGGGAAAAGTCCTGACAGTGTCCACAGTTCTGCAGTTGAAAAGCCCCACTCGAAACAGTGATCTAATTGCAATCCCATTGCTAAGAAATACCCATATGGTTTAGCTGTATATGAACAGGCACAGTAGTTATACATCGGCAAAAGACAGAAGAGGGACTTTAACACAGCACATCGTGATTTTTGGCCTTATGGGTTTAGGAACGGGAAAAGATTAAATGAATACTCCAGCACTTCCCAACCTCATCTCTATCTGCTGCATCTGTAGTGTACTGTCAGTTTCTATGGGCAAGAATTTCAATGCACTTAGGAATGAACTGGAAACCTTCTCACCTGAACTCACTCACAATAGAAGTCAATGGGCAGTTGCTGAATTCTGCAAATAAACATTTATGCAAAGTGTGTTTTTGTAGAACACTTTCATGGATTCTGCAGTTAAGTTTTTGTAAATGAATCTAAATTAATCCGTAAATCTGTATAATTAATTATTTGGTGCACTCTTAAAAAAAAAGACAGTTCTTCAGTAAAGAAAACATTTCTAAATAGAACTTTAAATACTCTTTAAATACCCTTTGCATGCTCAAAGCGTTCTTTGCATTGTGAAAGGTTCTTCAGATTGACGGAAGACGTGCTGTAGATGGTTCCAAATAGAACCTTTTTGGAACGTTTTCTGTATAGCACCAAAAAAGGTTATTCTATTGTTACGATGTCAACCTTGTAACAATAAAGGAACCCTTTTTGGTGCTATACAGAACCCTTTTCAAAAAAGAAAACCTATTCGCAATCTGAAGAACACTTTGATCAGGCAACCATTTTCTTTACTAAAGAACCCTTGAAGAACCGTCTTTTTAAGAGCGTAGTTATCCAGAGGCAGGGCGACTTCAGGGAACTTCTTTTTCACTGTGTTCCTCCAAGCTGGATAAAACATCATGAGAACATCTTTCCAAAGTTGCTCTTTCATGTCTGTGTCATCCTACACACCTAAAAATGACGGTTCTTTAAGGGTTCTTTACTAAAGAAAATCGCTCTATATAGATTCTATATGAACGCTCAAAGAACCCTCTGCATGATTAAAGGGTTCTTTGCATCACAAAAGGGTTCTTCAGATTGATTGAGAATATGCTACAGATGGTCCTACATAGCACCAAAAAGGGTTCTTCTTTTGTAACAATCCTGACATCATAACAATAGAAGAACCCTTTTCAAAAAGGTTCTATATAGAACGATCTACAGCACGTTCTCCATCAATTTGAAAAACTTTCACGATGCAAAGAACCCTTTAATCATACAAAAGGTTCTTTGAGTGTTCATGGTTCTATATAGAACCTGTGAAGAACCACCATTCTCTAGTATGTAATAAATGCATTATTAGAGTGTAATGGTTTGTGTTGCGTAGTCATGTATTTCAAACGTTTATTCATGGAATTCAGCATCTGCCCATTGACTTCTGTTGTAAGTGAGTTTTCAGAAAACAGGTTTTCTATTATTGTCCATTTTAACCAGAAGACAAACAGGTTGGAAAACGTTCCTGAACACGGTTTTAAAGACGGGCTGTTTTCATGAACAAGGATTAAGCCTAGTTTTGGACTAAACCGCCAATATTAGCGGAGTTAGACCAGGAGTGTCCAATGTTATCCACAAAGGGTCGGTGTGGCTGCAGGTTTTCACTCAAAACCAGCTGCAACACACCTGACTCCACTTGGTTGATCAGTTGGTTTCAGTCTTCAAATTGCTGACCAGGTGACCTCCTGTTTTGTTGGAATGAAAACCTGCACCCACACTGACCCTTTGTGGATAAGATTGGACGCCCCTGTGTGAGACTATTAAAAAAAATAAAAATAAAAATTTAGTCCAATTTGAGGCTTTAGGGAAAATCACCCCTTTAACACCCAAAAAGCGTAACTGTTTGTGAGAAAACTTTCAACCAGCTACGGCATGAAAGTCCGGATGCTGAAATTATTAAAGCAGCTGCTACTACTACCGGTGTTGCCTTACTGCCTCTAGTAGTCTGCAATTCACAGTTCGGTTCAATTCCCACAGTCCATCTCCCACATGAGCCATTTTCTGTAGTAGCATCAAACTCCACAGAATCTCAGGCATCTCCACAGAATGTCCTGGCAGGGCTCTCCATGAGATTAAAGCAATGGTTTGGCGAAAAAGTCAAATTTACGCAATACAACTTACTATTCATCGTAATTTTTGGGGATTCGCAGATCTCTCTGGTGGAAACGTTTGATTGTACACAAGAAGAACATTTTTCTAATAATGGCTGCGCTTTGGACCTCTTCCCCGAGGAGATGAATCTGATCGTGAGCGCATAGAAAGAGCATTAAAAGATAAGTCAGGATGCGAGTGAAGTATCTACTATCGTCACCGTATCTTCATCAGTATATCTGAGACCTAAACATTGAGCCAGGCCTTTAAAACTCCAGCGAAACTGAGAAAGTTTTGGGGATGTATTTGTGGAAAAGATTACTGTGACTATTGACTTCGTGTTTTGTTCTCAATGTTAGCTTCCAAGTAAAGAAGCAACATTTGGACATCAAACATGTCTTTGATGTTTGATTACATTCAAAATAAGAGGAAAATTGTGTAAATTTGACTTTTAGCCAAACTACTCCTTGCCTTAAGCCTAAAACCTAAAGCGCTGCACTTTGTGCAAAGTTTTATACTCATCCAATCACATTTACCATGATTTTTTGGTTGAATATTGGTTGACAGTTAAAATGACATTCTCCGATCAGGCATAACATTATGACCACCTCCTAGTTTCTACGCTCATTGTCCATTTTATCAGCTCCACTTACTGTATAGGTGCACTTTGTAGTTCTACAGTTACAGACTGTAGTCCATCTGTTTCTCTGATACTTTGTTAGCCCCCTTTTACCCTGTTCTTCAGTGGTCAGGACCCCCATGGACCCTCACAGAGCAGGTACTATTTGGGTGGTGGATCATTCTCAGCACTGCAGTAACACTGACATGGTGGTGGTGTTTTAGTGTGTGTTGTGCTGGTCTGAGTGGATCAGACACAGCAGTGCTGCTGGAGTTTTTAAACACCTCAGTGTCGCTGCTGGACTGAGAATAGTCCACCAACAGTGTTCTGTGGGCAGCGTCCTGTGACCAAGGATGAAGGACTAGAGGATGACCAACACAAACTGTGCAGCAGCAGATGAGCTATCGTCTCTCACTTTACATCTACAAGGTGGACAGACAAAGTAGGAGTGTCTAATAGAGTGGACAGTAAGTGGACACAGTGCTTAAAAACTCCAGCAGCACTGCTGTGTCTGATCCACTCAGACCAGGGTAAGAGAACAGGGTGAAGAACAGGGTAAAAGGGGGCTAACAAAGTATCAGAGAAACAGATGGACTACAGTCTGTAACTGTAGAACTACAAAGTGCACCTATACAGTAAGTGGAGCTGATAAAATGGACAATGAGCGTAGAAACTAGGAGGTGGTCATAATGTTATGTCTGATCGGTGTATGTCACTCTATAACACCTAGACTGCTACACTCAGATGCATTGTCTACTATTAAAGATACAATTACAGATTACTGAGAATCTATACAGGAACTGCATAATAAGAACCAAAACATTTACAAGTTAAAAATACATGTACCCTAAAACAAATAGGCAATTGCATTGGTTGAGTCAAGCACAAAACATCAGAGGTCATTAAATAAACTCTGGTTAGCAGGGAGGCTTCTCCCTCCAGTGGTTAGCATTGTTATTTCATCACACAAACAGACAGAAGCGCACGCACATCCTGGATCACTGCTCGTTTTAGCATATATCCCTCAGTTCCTTTCACTTTCCCACTATTTAAAGGAATAGTTCAGTCAAAAAACGGTAACGTTGCTAAAAGCGAATGAAACTACAGTCGATTCACATTATTATGACCACTTCCTACTTTCTGTGGCGCACAAGCTGGTGGTGGCAGCGTTTTGGTCTGGGGACTGTTTTCTCCGGGCCCACTCATCCATGTGGAAGGCACTCTCAACCGATCTGGGTATGAATCCATCCTGGCAGATCACGAACACCCACACATGCTGATTGTCTTCTCTGGGGTCGATGGGATCTTCCAGCAGGACAGTGCGACACATCACATGGCTAGAAATGTCCGACATTGGTTGGAAGAGCATGACCAAGACTTCCAAGTACTACAGTGGCCCCCTAATCCGATAGACTTGAACCCAATTCAGCGTCTGTGGGACCACCTCGATCATCGTGTTCACTCTATGGATCCTCCCCCACGCCCCCTCCAGCAGTTGTGGGATGCACTGCAGTCAGCTTGGCTCCAGATACTTGTGACAACCTACCAGGACCTTACTGAGTCCCTCCCAGCCCGTCTGGCTGCTGTCTGTGCTGCACATGGCGGTTACTCTGGACATTAGCTGGTGGTCATAGTAATGTGACTCGACTATGTATATAGCCAACAATTAGCACTACCAATGAAGATGTGCTAACTGGTGAATGCTAGGTTCAACATTATTCAACATTAGCCATGTTAGCATGTGTTATTAGGCTATTCCTTTAATTATATATGGGAAAAAGTGAGGTGGTGACAGCCAATGAGTGTATAAATGATTTAAAAACGAAATAACTTTTGCTTCAGGATTAATCTACTATCCCATCTAATAGCATCTAGTATTCATCTATTCCCAACATCTGCCTCAATGAGAGAAGCAAAGAACCTGCAAGAAACCTCTAGCAATGACAACAGTCATATGCAAAAATTATAATACCTCTTGTGAAATGACATGTTTTGTTGATTTGCTTGACGTGAAAATAAGCGAACACATTTTATGTTTTATTCTTTCCAAATATGTTAAATTCAGCAAATAAACAGTATTTGTGCATATAAACGTGCAAAAGTGTGTTCTCTGTAGAGGATGTGTTCAATTATTTTCACTTAGAAAAATCAGCAAAACGTGGCCAAAGGCACCCAAACAAAACAAAAACAAAACAAAATAAAACAAAAAAAGAGGACAAACAAAAATTCTGCTTTTTTGGTCCCAGACTCTACATAGGATATTGGAAGAAGACACAAGTTGTCAAACGGTCAACAGCCCTGTTCGCACCTGGCACTGCAAAGAGGAATTCAGATTTTTCAAAAAATTCTACATAATTAAATTAGTAACATGTAAATAAACTCATTTTAAGAGTTTTAATGTGAATTTCTCCATTCTAGTGAAAATTGCAAGTCAAAAGTGTTCACAGTGGTGTTGATAGGAACCAGACATCCCAAGTATTTAATGCCTTTAAAAGCTCCTACACAGAAGGTTATTACATGGAATGGCTTCATGCTTCAGCCTGATGTCTGAGTCACTGTTTTATGATAATTTTGAGATTAAATTTTTCTCTTTTTTAAAAATTGTTTAATGCTGGTGAGCTGCATGCAAGTCATTCAAAATAGTCCCTAAAAAAAGCATTTTCCTCGCGTTTAGTCCTATTTTACCATCATCAGCATTACAAATAAAACTCAGAAAACACTTGTTGTTCACTGGTCATTCTAGACAGTACACTAAATTTCTATATTTGCATTGAGAACATGGTGACTCAGAGTTCCTCTCACCACCACTGTAAGAAATTTGAGCTAGTAAGTTTCCTACAATGAACCATTTCACATCCTACCACTCTGAATGACTGTTGAGAGAAATTCTGAAAAATCGTCGGAATTCCCCTTTAACGTCTGTCTAGAGTGATCTGACCACAAGTGAGAGACACATTGCCATTCGCACTTGGCATTTCCATGTGAATTCACTGCCCGTGACCACTTATTTCACAACAGGAGAAGAGTATGGCGCACATTTATGATGCCACTCAATGCATTTGTCGTCCTTGTTCACGTACTTGTACAGTTATCTGCAAAAGTTTAAACATCCCTAGTAAAATTACATTTCGTTGATTTTGAAAAAAGGTGAGAGTGAATAAATTTACACGTCCTCTACAGGGAACAAACTTAAATGTTGCATTTTTTGCTAATTTTTGTGCACAATTTCTATTTATTTTTTAGCATATGGGACAGAAATAAAACATACAACATAAAATGTGCCATAACTTTCATACAGAGCACATTTTATGTTTTGTAAATACGTTAAATTCGGCAAATAAACAGTAATTGTGCATTAAAATGTGCAGAACTGTGCATGAGCTGTTAAATATTTCCTCAAAAACAAGCAGGAAGGGAGATGAAGAAGGAAGCTATGTGGCTCCTTTCATCTCTCCTGTGATTATGCAAATGATCAAGGTGTTCCTTGGAATGCTTTATGGTATGTGGTCAGTTGCATCCCTGACCACCTTTGAAGGTGATCTCTGAGACGCATCAGACCACGTTCACAGCCGTCCACTTATGACCAGATCACATAAGATGTATGTTAATGCCAGGTGTGAACGGGCTACTTCATGACAACAGTGTCCATCTCTCCTTTATTCATCTTCTCATTCCATCCTTTCTGATGTATCACTATGATTGACATATGCAAATCAGATTCTTACAGGGGATCGCAAGGTGTCTCCGACATATAATTCAGAAGTTTAGACCTGGCTAACGGGTAGCTCGCCATCGTCCAGGTCAAGAGGAGGAGACGGGGCATCGCGCATCCCAAAACTGCTGCGCCGTCGCCATGGTGACTCGTGAGTCACTTGGACAGGTGGGTCTCTTGTAACGACAGGCGGGCATGTTGCCGGGGCAATGGTAGCAGGCTCATGAAGTGCTCGCTGTCCCATGCCAGTCCGCGGGGTACCACGGCACTCTGGGTAGGCTGGCATGGCAGGGCTGGCCTTCCAGGGGGTGGGGCCAAACGAGGGTGCACAGTGGAATGAGGAGGAGCCAACAGTGTGCCCCTAGAGAAAGAAAGAGAGAGAGACTGTTCAAAATTATGCAGCATGAGAGACAAAGACAGCATCAGTGGGAGATCTGAGGGGGGAAAAAAGATATACTTGCACAAACAAAGTTGAAGTCATGCAGCAAAGACAAAAAACCCTGGATTAGTTTATCCTGGGGGAGATACGGTAATTTAAGTGACCAAAAGTAATCAGTGATTTTAATCCAGTTTGAATCTGCAATGTCCATATTTTTGCCAAGTCTGGCTGTAATAATTTTGTCATTCGCTGAACCCAGAGCTCCCTCAGTAAAGCAAATTTCAATATAAAAATAGTGACAAAAGCTGCTAACAGACACGGAAGCGCACCGTGTTGTTATTGTTATTGTGTGTCGAGCAACACTGACGTACATCTGGGCTGCAACCTTACAATTCTGACCATTTCTTACAATTTGAAAAGTTACAGAAACACTTTTGTCCTGTACAAATTCCTTATGAAAGTCCTATCTGGAGGGTCGCTCTTATCAGGTAACATGGAGAGGGTCCACATCCTCTCCGTGCAGGCTCTCCACTGGTGTCCCACAAGGCTCGGTGCTGGGTCCTCTTCTCTTTTCTCTTTACACTAGTTCTCTTGGTGATATCCTCTCATGGCTTTTCTTATCACTGCTATGCTGATGACACTCTACTAATGCTTCCTTTCTCACCTTCTGACACACAGGTTTCCAGTCGCATCTCGGCATGTCTGACTGACGTCTCTTCATAGATGGCAGCTCACCACCTGAAGCTCAATCCTAGCAAGACTGAGCTGCTATTCATCCCTGCAAATACAGGTCCTCATCATGATCTTGCCATCTCAATCAAGAACTCTCTGATTGTTCCGTCTGAAGATGTAAGAAGTCTCAGCGTGATTCTGGATGGCCAGTTATCGTTCTTGGCTCATATCGTGAACCTGACTCGGTCCTGCAGGTTTCTCCTGTACAGCATCCGGAGGATCTGACCCTTCCTCACTGGAGAGGCCACCCAGGTGCTCATTCAGTCTCTTGTCATCTCAAGGCTCAACTACTGCAACTCGCTCTTGGCTGGTCTTCCTATGCAGCCATCAAGCCTCTGCAACTCATCCAGAATGCAGCAGCACGGCTCGTCTTCAATCTTCGTAACTTCAGCCACGTCACTCCGCTGCTGCGCTCCCTTCACTGGATTCCTGTAGCTGCATCAGATTTAAAACGCTGATGCCTACGAAGCCAAAAACAGACCAGCCCCTCCCTGACAGCAATGGTCAAAACTCGAACTGTACCACGAGCCCTTCGAGCTTCAAGTACAGCTCGGCTTGACCCGCCATCCTTCAAGACACGTGGAAGACAAGCATCAAGACTTTTCTCTGTCCTGGCGACCAGGTGGTGGAACGAACTCCCACTGGCTGTCTTCAAACACAGACTGAAGACCGTCTCTTTATACAGCACTTAAGTGAGCACTGAGTTAAGTGTTTATTGTAATGTATTGTACTGCACTGCGCTGTGTTTAACTCTGTTCCTTTTTCTCTGGGCATCAACATGGACTTTTGTTTCTAACAGTATCTGAGCTCAGGACCAGCTTTCTCTCTAACCTATTGGTAACTAGCAAAGACACTTTCCCTAGATAGACAAAGCACTTTTTGCAGGTCGCTCTGGACAAGAGTGTCTGCTAAATGCTGTAAATGTAAATACCTAACAAAATCTCCCCTGGTAAAGCTAATCCAGCTCTAACAGTTGTTAAGAATACACTTGTTAGCATGTCAGAAGTACCACTGGCAGCAGTGGTCTTTGGAGAGGATTATAAGCCAAGAAAGTGAGTGAGTACCAGACCCAGAGTGTGCAGTGCATCAGTTGAGGAATGTTAGCATGTGATAGCAGCCACTGATTCCCTTCACTGCACACACAACACAGAAAGAAGAGAGATGCGACACAGGCTGGAGACAAGAGCAAGAACAGTTCATGTTAATACATGAATTCACACGGCATTTAAGGAGAAGAGTAGCAAAAAAAAAATAACACTATAGAAGGTTGTCCATGAAAATATTTAAGAAAGGCTAATATACAATAGTGACAGTATTAGTTATTAACAGGGCTTTCCCTGACTAAGAATCTTCTTCGTCGACTACAAGGCCACATTTTATATATAAAACTAGTTTGCACCTTTAGTGAACGCTTTGAAGCATGGATGGGTGAAATTTTAGCAAGGAAATGCCTCAATTTTTAAATCGCACATTTTTAAACATTAAAAATTGCATTCCGCCTTCTTGGAATGACTTTCACAAATTTCTGAGCGCACCCACACAAAGGATTTTTTTGTAAATGTAACGAATTAACTGACTGATTGCTGCTGAGTCACTTTGCTGACTTAGAGGGAACAGTCCTGTTATAAAGTATTATTACTTAGGTGCAGCTGTTACTTGTGTGGTGTGGTATAGAGACACAGGATAAAACTAATAAATCATATATAGGGGTCATTCTACAGAAACATCCACTATTCTATCTCTCCATAGGTGTCACTGGTGTTACCGATCCTCATTTGTGTTATACATAAGAAAGGTAACACCAGAGACATTTTAATGAAAAATGCATTTTAAAAAATAACTGCTACAGAGCATCAAACCACATGTCAATCATGGAACATCCACTAAAATATGGAATTTAATCCATTTGTGTCTATTTTTTCACAGTTACCTCAGAATAAAGTCAGTCACACCAGTGACTTCAGCTAAAAGCTTCATATGAAATCATGAGCTAAATGAGAAAATCTCTGATAACTGAAAGACACAGTGGACTCACTCTTTTTTTACGCGGTAACACCAGTGACACGACTCCTGGTGACAACAACTTTCATTATATATTTTATAATATTTATTTGGCTTTTGTTTTCTTTATATCATTTAAATCATATACTTCATAGTCATGTATAGATTATTGTAGTTGTCAAAATATGACCTCAGCCCTTACACGTGACTGTGAGGACGAGCTCTTCTGTGGTGCTTGGAATTCTAGATAATTGATTTAAAAACCAATATTGCTAAATTGAGGCTCAAGAAGGCGTAATTGTCAAAATAACCTATTGTTTTATTTAAAATATAAATAAATTGTAATCCTAACATGTTTTAAGCGTAATATATCTGTAAACACTAGGGACACAAAAATGGAAGTTTCTGTAGAGCGACCCATATATTTAAGCTCTGTAATACATATTTTTGTGTATGTGTAAGTGTGGAATTAGTGTTGCTCATATGCTTCTACTGACACTACTTATAAACTTCCTTTGTTTACTTACAAACTTCATTTGAACCTTTTATCATACATTACGATACACAAGAGAAAATAAAACTACATGTGTAACATAAGATATGTACACACATGTAGTGTCATTTTTTAAATGGTGGTTATACATTTAGGGAAAGTACCTTTGAAAAAGCACAAACCTGATGGCTCTTTGTATAACGGCACAGCAGTCTTTATTTATTTCTAGAATCTTTTTCTTTTTTGACAGTCTTTATGGGCATCCGTCTTTTGTTTTACTCAAATGTATTATAATTAATTTTTGCGCAAGGTGGTAGACCCTCTAGCTAGCATATTAAGTACGAAAGGAAAACACTGCATTTTTTCTACCATAGCTGTGAAGGTGTTCAATGTTTTCAGGTAACAAAAAAGTGCATGTCTGTAATTATTAGTCCACTTTTAATTAACCGAATCATACTTTTATTTAAACTATGCAAGTATTACATTCATTGTTATTTTCGTGGACAGTGAACCTCCAACAGCTCAGTGTTCGTCGCTGGTTCCACAACACGACGATCACCGAAATCGCACTGAAAGAGCCGTGAGTGCAGCGACACCCGACATGCTCAATCCAGTATGGGATGAGTTTGACTATGGCGTTGATGTTGTCTGTACAGCTGGAGGAGGTTCATACTGAGACCTTGTACAATTACATAATAAACTTTATGCTCATTTGAACCATTTACAGTTTACTGCATTGTTCTGTAATGATTCATAGGTGAAATACGAATCTTTGTGAATCACCCTGTATATGCTAATCTGTCTGTCACAAGCTTCAAGTAAAACATGGAATGTCTTTTAGAAGCTTCAAACGTCAGCTGTTTAATGTAGCACGACCAAAAAACATTCATGTGAATCATCATTACCTTAGAGCTAACAAACTACTACAGTCCCATAGGGCTGCTAGCAGAAGTTACCATTATCAAGGTGGGTTTTTCCTCATATTTTGACATTTATGGCCCAAATTGAAATTCTAGTTCCAATATTCACGAATCGCCATTGGATCACAAAGTAATAATAGTTGTGGAACCTTGAGCTACTACCAAAAAAAAAAAAAGATCTCTGAAACTGCAATATTCATCATCTGAATAAAATGCAGGCACATTCGCGATGTCCATAATGTCAATATTGTGTGTGTATATCACTGTATACTTTATTATTAAGTCTTGGCACATTAGTGACTTACCGATGTTTTTTAAAGGCACAACAGCTCTAAAGGCGTCTTTTAATAATTAATGTCCTCATATTCTTAAATAAGTAGTCTGTGTTGCTTCTTCTTTAAATAAAACTTCAGTTTAAGTGCTTTTATGTGAAATGGGTCACTGAAGCAAGACAGAGGGGAATGGGGAATGACTGCAGTGGTCTGGGTAAAAAGCTGACACGTTAAAGTTAACAATTAATCATTAAAAATTCAAGATATTAATAATTCAAATTAAAAAAACTCATTGAGGAGCCATTTGGCAGTGAAGAAAGAAGGAGAAGAAGGAGAGAAGAGGAGAAAGCGTTTAGCTTTAAAGCTTGAAATGTCACTTATATGTATTAGTTATATGGTTAAGTCATATACATAGTGAAATGAGAGTGAGTGTGCATTAGAGCTGCACAATATGCATAACATACTGGTGTTTATACACCGATCAGGCATATCATTATGACCTAGTTTCTGCGCTCATTGTCCATTTTATCAGCTCCACTTACTATATAGGTGCACTTTGTAGTTCTACAGTTACAGACTGTAGTCCATCTGTTTCTCTGATACTTTGTTAGCCCCCTTTTACCCTGTTCTTCAGTGGTCAGGACCCCCATGGACCCTCACAGAGCAGGGTCATTCTCAGCACTGCAGTAACACTGACGTGGTGGTGTGTTAGTGTGTGTTGTGCTGGTCTGAGTGGATCAGACACAGCAGTGCTGCTGGAGTTTTTAAACACCTCAGTGTCGCTGCTGGACTGAGAATAGTCCACCAACCAAAAATATCCAGCCAACAGCGTCCTGTGGGCAGCGTCCTGTGACCACTGATGAAGGACTAGAGGATGACCAACACAAACTGTGCAGCAGCAGATGAGCTATCGTCTCTGACTTACATCTACAAGGTGGACTGACAAGGTAGGAGTGTCTAATAGAGTGGACAGTGAGTGGACACAGTGTTTAAAAACTCCAGCAGCACTGCTGTGTCTGATCCACTCAGACCAGCACAACACATACTAACACACCACCACCACGTCAGTGTTACTGCAGTGCTGAGAATGATCCACCACCCAAATAGTACCTGCTCTGTGAGGGTCCATGGGGGTCCTGACCACTGAAGAACAGGGTAAAAGGGGGCTAACAAAGTATCAGAGAAACAGATGGACTACAGTCTGTAACTGTAGAACTACAAAGTGCACCTATACAGTAAGTGGAGCTGATAAAATGGACAGTGACCGTAGAAACAAGGGGGTGGTCATAATGTTATGCCTGATCGGAGTGTATTGCTTTATACTGCAATTGAGATACGCCTAGTAATATATTACAGGGAAATTACTCAGACTTTTGAAAACTCGTGTGTAATTAAATCGTTAAGCTGTAAAAAAGTCATTCAGAGTGGTTTATGGTAAAACGTGCTGTGAAAAAAGGCAGAGTCAGAACTATTCAAATTAGCGGTGATAGGAACCAGATGTCCGATACGTTCAAGTGACCTCAGAGCAAGTTACATTACGAAATGGTTAGGGATATGCTGCCTGACGCCAGAGACATTGTTTTAAGATAATCTTTCGGCATAAAATATTTTTTTTTAAACACATTAATGAAAGAGAGATACATGCGGGGCATTGTATGGCAAAATGGTACCCAAAGAAATCCTATTTTTCCAGATTTATAACTATATTATCCATTTCTAATTACATATAAAAACTGTAGGTTTACTGGTTGTTTTGGACAGTAAATAAATGGCTACATTTACAATGCAGACATTACAAACCCAGGTTCCTATCACAACCACTGTAATGATAGTCGGTTTAAAAACCTTTAAAGCCCCTGTGAACATGTTTAAAATGTAATTTCAAAAGTAAAGATATCGCTGCTGTTGGAAGAAAACCTCCCATCTCCATTTTTGTCATTTTTCAGTTTTTGATATAATTTGAAAATACCTGTTAACCTTTATATTGTGTGTACATTTCATGAAGAATGGACCAAAAGAAACGACCCAAAATGACCTGGAAAAAATTCTGGTTCCACTGACTTACATTAAAAGTAAAGTATGTTTTTCCTTCTCCTGTAAAGTTACCATTTTGGAGGTACAAGGTTTTCTTCCGACAACAGCGATATGCTGCCAAAAGTGTTTACCAGTGTTATACTCGAGCCATATAAATAAAATAGTACATTAATGCTCCAATGCTCCAGCTGCTTCCTGCTAAGAACTATACGGAGTGTCAGATCACATAATGATTGACAGGGAGCTCTGGCTGGGACTTTGACAGATCTGGTGTCACTTGCACCAAATTTAGTCCCAACCAACTCAAATCGAACAGAAGAACAAGAACTCTAAAAGAACTGGAGGAAAAAGTCATTTACAAAAATCTCTCAGCAGAAATTTATCTGCCAATTGATAGTAAAACATCCTAAGAACTAAGGATAACAGTTAAAAGAAATGATGAAAATTAGCAGACAGGCTCTAAAAAGACACTGGTTAATCAATAATGTGAAATGATTCAACATGATGAAAAAAAGATTAGTTCATATAATGAACTTAAGTTCAATGAACTCAAACCAAGTTTACTTACTATTTTAGTTAAAATGTTGCATTATTTTTTTTGCTGTAAAGACTCGCCTGTGTTCTTCTGACCACAATTATTTAGTCTTACTGGACTTCACAAAGACAGGAACACTCAAACTCAAACAGTCACTGAAACTGTGACTGGTCTGGATTTTTAAAGCACACTTTCTTTTGCATATTGTAGCCTTCAGTGATAATGATTAACCTCTTATGCTCGTGGGTATATTTTGGTTTTTCCATCTGAATTTACATGCCCAAATTGTAAGGCAAATTATTCAGTAACTGCATGAAATAAATGCAATTTATTTGGTAAAAGTTCCACTAAAATGACTAGAAAATGTGTTTTATGATCATAAACATATTGCTATATGCTTATAATTTACTGCTGACAGCCAAAAGTCTTAGACGCTCTTTGTATTTTTTTATAAAAATATTTTTTTTCAGAGCAGATCACTGAAGAGACGCCATCCATGATCTGGTTTGTAGCTCAGATTTGTGAAAAAATGGGTCGACTTTCAGTAGAAAAAAAAAAAATTAAGTTCAGCTTCTTCTATTATAAAGTTTTAAAACTACATTACCCATCTATTTGCAGGAAAGAAGACCGTTACAGCTCTCATATGACCCCCACCTTTTGAATGAAGCTTATAAAAACAGGAAAGTTATGAAGTAAAGAATATGACTACGTGCAATTTGGAACCAAAGGTGGTTCCACGGAGTTAAAAAGGTTAAACAAACAATATATTATGCAGCCCTGGGTGTATTTTGTGCATGTGAGCGTGTGCTTGAGCATGTGTGAGCAGCTTCTCTTAAGCAGGACAAGGGTATAGGAAGGGGCGGGATAAAGGGGATGGAGCTCACATACGTGCTGCCTTGAGTGACACGTGGTGTGTACCTCTGAATACATGGGTTCGAATGCCTTCTGGCCTGACGCATCTGTAACAACACAGTGCACTCCATTAGAGAAAATGAGAGGAAGAGGGGTTGAGAGAGAGAGAGAGAGAGAGAGAGAGAGAGAGAGAGAGAGAGAGAGAGAGAGAGAACACAGGGAAAGATGAAGAGATGGAGAGAAGGACAGAGGAGAGAATGAATCTGACACCAAAAAACAATTAATGCTCCCAATTCAGGTAAAGAATACTGAGTTCTGTTACACCTTTTAAGTCCAAACCACTGCAGTCTGTATGACATCCATCCCTGTGTAAATGAGGAGGCCAGTGGGCCAGAGACTCTCAGCGACTCCTCCATCACCTGCTTTAAAACTCCTCCCTTTTCCGATAAACGCAAACGTTAAAGAAATAATGTCATCTATTTCCAAAAATGTCAATTATTCCTTTAAATGCTGTACACAAGCTAACAAACACTGACATGTTAATGAAATGATCTTGTAAAATCAAAAACAAAAAAACACACACACAAAAAACTGATTTTTACACAAACTTTCCCCCCTAATCTCAACCCAAACCAAAGTTTGGTGTCAGAAATTTGCTTCTTTAGTTTTGCACTACAGCTACAAGGCTTACATGTAATGGAAGGTACTACGTCACCAATCAGCATCGTGCAAACTGCCTGCATAAGCAGAGCTCAGGATGCATTTTTTCTGAATGTGGAAAAAAGCGAGTCCCACTGCTGTGCATCTTACTGTTGCTTAGCAACAACAGTTTCATAACTGTCAATCAGCTGCGCCAGCAAGGTATCGTTTCAATATGTATAGGCATAAAGCTGTCACACCTGTCACACCCTTTAGGATATGATATACTGTTACCTAGCAAATGTGGTGCTGCTTATAAAAAACGAGCTAAACTTTAAAAAATAAATAAATAATAAAAAAAATACATTTGTGTTAATTATTCTAATTTTGATCTGTCAAATTATACAGTTCAGTGAGCAATAGGGCTGAAAAATTTGGGCAAAATAACTAATCTGTCACGCTGGTGTTTGGTTGCTTGTAACTGGTCTACCTCACCTACAGTTCCATTAAAAGCTCTGTGTTATTTAAATTTCTTCCGCCTAAAACTTGTTAAGGCAGCAAATATTGTTGATAATGTGGGCTATAAATATTTACTGAAAATTGCAATTACACACCCCTGCCCCAAATTAACACACACTTACATCAAACCACTTCAAGTGGCCAAGTAACTGCAATTAGACTTACTTACTTAGACTTACTGTGGTTTCTGACACTATGGCATACTGTTATCTATAAAAAAGGAAAAAATTTATAATACATGAAATAACAGCAGTTGACATGTTAAAGCCTGAAATATCTCAGCACTTTGGTCCATTAGCCTCGTAGCTTCAGTGCAAAAAGTAAAGAACCAAACTTCGGTCTCCAAACATGTCATGGCTGGTTTTTGGTGAACAGAAGCCAACATGCAGTGCCGAGTTCACACAGATGCCTACAGCCAACACCAAGCCCCAATTACAGCTTCCCAAGGTTATAAATAGGTGCCATCAACAGTTCTGTTGTAGTTTCTTTGAACTGAAAGCAGTACATCACTGGCACAGACAGTACATTCCTGAGTGAGTGTCAGTATAAAGCTATGTACACACAAAAATGTCCTAATGGGGAAGCGCTCATGCCGATGTAGACGTGTAATGTTTTAGGAAACATACAGATGCAGCGGATCTTCCGGGGCCCCTCTGCGCCACGATCGCTCCTGAGATTGCCTTAATCCAGCTGTGCATCTCTTCAGGACTGTCCGCCTGAGGCCGAGAGGTGAAGAGGAAGAACGATAAAGAAAGACAAAACATAATGAACAAATATAAACGCATGATATAAATAAATCAATAAATTTATGACCAAAAATCTGTTGCATACAATGATCAAGTCCTACCTGAACATAAAATGTTCTCGATGTAGTGACCACCTCAAAGAGGTTGTCTCTCATCAAAATATCACTGCCAAAAACAAATAAAAAGAGGCAAAAAAAAATACTGAATATGAATTTACAGTCAATCAAAAAAAACATGTATAGGTCAATCAAAAACGTATATGGCAAATACACTATATGATCCAAGGTAAGCCGACACCTTTCCCCATTATTCCCTACAGCCATGCAATCTTCACAATCACTGGCAGCAGAATGGATTGTACTGCAGAGCTCAGTGATTTTAAACAGGGCCCCGTCATAGAATACCAGCTTTTCCACAATTCAGTCTGTGGAATATCTGTCCTGCTAGATCTGCCCCAGTCAACTGCAAGTGCTAGTACTGGGAAATGGAAGCATCTAGGAGCAATAACAGCTCATCTATGAAGTGGCCGACCATGTAAAGCAGGGCTTTCAAGTGCCAAAGCATGTAGCATGTAAAAATCGTCTATCCTGTTTCATCACTCGCTTCAAAACAACATCAGCACAAGAACTTCTGCATTGGGCGCTTCACGGGTTTTTCGTGGCAGAGCAGCTGCACACAAGCCCAAGATCACCACGCGCAATGCCAAGTGTCGGCTGACGTGGTGTAAAGCCGCCACCACTGAAGCAGCGGAAACATTCTCTGGAGTGATGAATGTGGTTTACTGGCAGTCTGATGGACAAATCTGGGTTACAGGATGCCAGGAAAGTACTGCCTACCAGAATGCATAGCGCCAACTAAAGTTTGGTGGAGGAGAGATAACAGTCTGGGGCTGTGTTTCAGTGAAGGGTAATGTTATTGCTACATTTAAACCAACATTTTAGACAATTACGTGCTTCGAACATTGTGACAACAGTTTGGTGAAGGACCTTTACTGCTCCAGCGTGCCTGTGCCCCTGTGCACAAAGCCAGGTCCATGAAGAAATGGTTTGACGAGTTTGTTGTGGAGAAAATTCAGTGGCCTGCCTGGAGCCCTGACCTCAGCCTCACTAAACATCTTTGGGATGAATTGGAACGTTGATTGTAAGCCAGGCCGTCTCATCAACATCAGTGCCTGAGCTAACAGGCATCTTTTAAATGAATGGGCACAAATTCCCACAGACATAATCCAAAATCTTGTGAAAAGTCTTCCCAGAAGTACAAAGACGTTTTAGGGCCACTGTTAATAAAAATTAAAATAGCAGACTTTGAGAATAAAGTCATAATATTTCAAGAAAAAAAGCTGTAATATTTCAAGAATAAAAGTCGTAATATTTAAAGAAAAAGGTCATAATATTTTGAAAAAAAAAAGCCGTAGAATTACGACATTAAAGTGGCATTAATACCAGGAAAGGTCGCAATATTGTGGCCAAAAGCTTTGCAAAGTGAAGGCAGCACCTCCTCGTGTTAAATGAGGGGCGGTGAGTTGGTGGAGTTCTACTTTCATATCGATTCACCCATAAAGAAACACTCAGTCTCCCTGTCTCTCCTGCACATCAGCACCAGCCTGTTATAGTATAAGAAATGGCTGAAACAGCTGAGCAGGAAACTGTTTATCTAGAATAAAGAGCCAGACGGACTCGGAGACGGACTGTCTGTCCGTTTTGTTGAAGGAGAATTGCAGGCAGGGTCGTCTACACGGCTATCAGTGGCTGCATCTCTGCGCCTTCAAAGAGGGCATGACGTTTCACAGGCAATGAGAATTATAATCAAAATGATCCACAGAGAGACAGGAGTGAGTGGAACTCCGGCATGCTCAGCGTCTTCACCATCGCCAGTACAGAAACCAAGACCCCAACGCGTTATGGCAGCCCCCTACAATTAGCCCACTTTATCCTCAAAATATTCCAACTTTTATCTCGAAACATTCTTACGACTTTTTTCTCGAAGTCTACTATTTTTATTTTTATTAACAGTGGCTCTAAAACACTGTCGTACAGAAGAGTGGAGGCTGCTATATCCACAAAACTCCACATTAAAACTCATGGTTTTGCAATAGGATGTCCAACAACCTCATATAGGTATAATGTTCAGGTGTCCACATACTTTTGGCCATATAGTGTATGTGCTACGCTGTTATGGCACCAGTGCACACCTGTGTTTACACTCCTGAACTTTATGAACCTCCTTCAGGGGAATCATCCTCAAGGGCTCCTTCTCCTGTAGAGAGAGGGCATATTTGAGAGAGAGAGGGCATATTTGAGAGAGAGAGAGAGAGAGAGAGAGAGAGAGAAACACACAAATGAGCATTTCATTTAGCCATCTGTGCATTTACAGTTTCAACAAAGACACCGTCCAGATCAACAGCAAGCAAGGACACTGAATATAATGTGCATGGTCATTATCTGTAAAGTCCTGTTGTACGGGTACACGCTTCATTAATGACCCTCAGAGTCGGGACATGATGCCGTCAAACTAAAGACCTAAGTATGAAGAAAATGAACTTCTGTAGCTGATATTACTGAAAATAAACGAGCATGTTTTGTCAAGAGACAGCTAAACTAGTTTGGGATGGTGGAGCACGTCATGATAAGATCTAATTCTCCAGACATAAACATACATGTGCTCACACAAGCAGACAACAAAGGCCGCGTATGTACATACACACTTATAGACACCATACACATAAAGGCAGAAGACTGGAACGTCAGACAAACAGTGAAGTACATGTTGGGGCAAAATCCTCACCTCTTAGCCAGGAAACAGACTCAAGATCAGCACACTTGCTCTGAAAAGATTTGTGAACGCAGAACCTGGCAGTTGTTTATTCTTTTGTCCAAGTTCCATGTGTCAAACACAAGGCCCGCGGGCCGGATCAGACCCGCCATACCATCCTATCCAGCCCGCAAAAGTATTTTCATTTGCTATTAATATTAGCCTGTTTCACAATGCACTGCACTATAGTCCCCAGCATGCACTGCAACGTAAAGTGCTCTGACTCTCCTAACCCAACAACAATCTATGGGACAGAAGTTACACCTCAAATCTACACAATTCTACACCAGTTATATCACCAAAAACACTAGCTGCAGTTCAGCCAATAAACACTTAACATTAGCGCAGCAGCTCAGAATTAATGAACTAGTACTAATGAACTTGCAGCAAAAAGGATGCCTGGTGTAAATAGGTGTAAATTTAAGTAAACAGGTAGGTTTAAAAGACTGAGCACCTGGGGACATTTCAATTTTGAATATTTTAAGTATTTATGTAATACTTCAAGTGTCTATTTTTCCTGTTGAAGTTTTTGCATATTTTGAATAAACAATGGCCAGTTCGGGTTACAGCACAACATTAAATAAAAATTAAATAAAAACATTTTTTTCTCTGGCCCACAGATTTGATAAGATTTATTAATATGGCTCTTTTACTGGTTGAGTTTGACACCCCTGGTCTAAGTAAAACTGATGTTCAAATTTCCCCCTTGCCCCAAATGCACATAGGAGGTTTTCTCCAACAACAGCTATATATATATATTATGTTTGTATATATATGTATGTATGTGTATTATTTTATATATATATATATATATATATATATATATATATATATATTTTCTTCCGACAACAACATATTCAGAGGTCAAACTTTCTTTGTACTTTTGTCCAATCCCCATGCTTCTGTTGCATGAAGAAAGAAGCAACCTTTGGACATCAGATATGTCTTAGCTGATCAATTGTATTTTGTGTAAAAATTGTGGCTGAACTTTCACTTCAGTTTTTCAGAACTATTTACTTCATATCTGAATGCCCTGCATGATAAATTCTTAGTGGATCAGAATATTTAGAGAATGCCTGTGAGAAAAAAATTAACTTAAGTGAAAGATTTAGGGTGAGACTCACAAGATCAGATTTAAAGTAGCTCATGGAGTTCTCCTCCAAAATGAAGTATCTTCGTTTCCAGTTTTTCATCTGATGCAAAAAAGAGACAAAAGGAACAAGAGAGGTCTGAATTACAATCACACACACACAGGCAACCATTAGTTCAGTACAGATACAGACAAACCAAACCAGTACTTCTCAAATACAGTCCTGGGCTTAGTCCTCGTAGGTGGTTGAATTTACCAGTAATAATAAATCAGGCCATTTCTGAACTGACTATATTATGTGACATCACTGCTCTCTCCCCACATCTCCAAGGTCTGCACACAGACCCTGGGGCTGGAGCTGTTAAAGTGGTTTTACTCACCACAGCGCCCTGTTTAACACAGTAGCCTGCCTTTATCACACTCTGCTCCTGAGTTGGTCTGCACAAGAAGTAGGGAAGGTGACTGTGAGGCCGCTTCAAGGCCTCCTTTTCTCTTCCAGTGGACTGTCCATCATCCCCCTCCTGCTGAGAGAAAAAGCCGTATGAGGGAATGTGTGCGAGAGGGCAAGAACAATGCTGGAGCAGGTGATTGGGAGAGTCGGGGGAAATCCTGGTGGACCAGATAAGTATAAACTCATGCAAATATGCACATTAATGCTCAGACAAACTAAAATGTTACATCCAGGTGTGTATCTGTAGTAATTAAGGATTTAAACCAGCGACCCTCTATATCATACATACAGTACAAAACATACAAACAGTAAATAGCACCAAGAATTTGCTTTGAAAAAAGTTGGCATCTTGTAAGCTAGTTTGAAGAACAAAGTTTGGTTGCAGGTTTCTCCTAAAGACCACTCATCACATGGATTTGTTCCATTTGTTCAAATAACATAATGAAATACTGACTAATCAAACCAAATATTGGATGATAACTACAAATAATACCAGGCTGCCACAGAAAGAGGTTTGGAAATGGCATACATAAAAAATCACTACTTATTGCATTAATGCAACTTGTGTTGAGCAATAAACGCTTACTAGATAAACAGCATTTTAACTCCAATTTTGCCAGGTGCCTGAAACCTTTGCACAGTGAAACATAACATCAGGGACGGTCTCTGAGCTAGCTCACCATTTTAGCTTGATGGTAGGCGAGGTGATGGGAGGCGGAGGAGAAATATATAATTGGTTAACATATTTTTTTCCTGCTCTTTGGTGCATGGTGGCATAAAAAAATCTTTTTTTTTTTTTTACAGGTAAGCAAAAGTAATTACAATCTGATACAAGAATTTTATCTTTTAAATTATCTTGTCAATACGACCAGGAACATAAAACCATGAACTAATGAGGTAAACTTTGATTTCAGGTTGCCTAAGGTTATAAATCTAGTGAGGAAGGGTATGAAAAGGTAAAGCAGAGGTAAATGCAGGCCAGGATCTACTGAGAAAGAGACTATGAATAATCTGAATGCAGACCTTGAATGACTCTGATCTGTGGCAAACAAAAATTTGAAGAATGATGTGTCATAGTCTGTAGTCATAGTCATAGTCAGTCATGTGTGATATGTTTGTCAAACCTGACAAGACATATCAATGCAATCTCTAGACATTTGTGTCGGTATGTATTACCTGTGTGCGCGTGACGATGGGTACTCCCCCTATGATCTCTGTCCGATAGGAGACCTGCTTTCTGCTGCCCTGAATATCACACACTGCTTTCTGACTCTCCGAATTATGGACCACATCACATGATGACTTGGGCACCTACACGGAGAGAGAGAGAGAGAGAGAGAGAGAGAGAGGGAATAAGAGAGTGAGAGCGAGAGAGTGAGAGAGAGCGAGAAAGAGTGCGAGGGAGTGAGAAAGAGTGAGAGAGAGCGAGTCTGTGTAATATTTCAAGGTCTACTACAAGTGCTTATATTTTTAAAGTTCTTGCATGCTTTAAATAAACAAATGGCCAGTTCTGGTTGGAACACAGCATTACTTAAAAATTAAATAAAGTTTTTTTTTTTCCTCTGGCCTGCAGATTTGATGAAATTTTTAAATATGGCCCTTTTAGTGGTTGAGTTTGACACCCCTGTGGTAAGGCCTGAAATTGAATCTTTTTCCTGCAGGCCCCCAGTGGCCATTTCACCAGCAGAACGGAAACTGACTTGATATTCCGAATCAGTACGATCAAATAAAATATATATTTTTTTTTTCCATAGTTATGTTATCAGATGAAGTAGGACTGTGGGCTCTCTGTTTGTGAAATGCTGGGACTCTGTGTTGAGCTGCTAGTGAGCAATGAGGGGTAAAAAGGGGAAGGTGAGAACCCCTGCTGTAAAAACAGTCCACAAATACAGTCATGCCAAGATAAATCAGACTTTCTTTTCATTTTAGGGCTACTGTGCTTGGATTTCAAAAACATTTTCCGGACTAATAAGTCTTTACATATTCGCACACAGGCTCAAAAAGAAGGTCCAGCTCGATGTTTAGGTCGAAAACACAAACTCATACTGATGAAGATGAGTTGACAAAAGTAAATAATCCACTTACATCTACAGAAGAACCTGTCCTTCAAGTTTTGACCAAGTACTCTTTAACCTCTTCAACTCCTTAAGACCACCGGTGGTTCCAAAACGCACTTCATAACTTTCATATTTCATAAGCTACATTCTAAAGGTGGGGGTCATATGAGAGCCGAAACTGTCTTCTTTCCAGTCAAATAGATGGGTGATGTAATTTTAAACCCTTATAATAGAAGAAGCTGAACTCACAATTTTTTTTTCTCCCGAAAGTTAATTAATTATAAAATAATACAAAGAGCATCTAAGATTTTTGGCTTTCAGCAATAAATTGTAAGCATATCGCAATGTGTGTAATTTGAGGGGAGCTTTTACCAAAAGGATAAATAAAATATTTACAATATTTACATTTATTTCATGCTGTTACTGAATAATTTTTCTTACGATTTGATCATGTAAATTCAGATGGAAAAAAACAAAATATACCCTGGAGAATAAGAGGTTAAAAATCCTTTCAATGTGCTCACAATCAAATTCATTCAGTCGGGGAAGTGTCGGAAGTACAACCAAATGTTTTAACTGCTGTACTTCAAATCAGATCAGACTAAAACCTCAAAGCATCTCAATATTTACTCCTCCCGTCTGGTCTACAAGACTCTGGCACTACAGAACACTAGAGAATATGAAACTTCCTGTTATCGCGTGTGGTTAAGTACTTACGGGTCATAAGAGTCCAGCCAGGAAAGTGAAACACAGAGCAGGAGAAGTTTAGGAAAAACATGTGAATACAAAATGCTGATTGATTGTTGAGGGTAACTTAAACAATACAACATCCTGCTACTCAGCCTGCGTGACTCACCCACATCAAAAGTCATCACTGTGAGAAATAATGCAGTCACTGACCGGATTTCTCCAGGCTTCCAAGACGAATGACCATGTGTGATCACTAATCATAATTCCTGGTATCTTTGTACCAGCACAACACACACTGACATGCAACTACAAGGAGATTCACTCGAAAGAGGCCCCGAATATTCTGTAATAACTCTCGCTAGGACGAAGCAATCTGAACCAAACAACGTGCAATGTGCTCTCAGTACACCGATCAGGCATAACATTATGACCTCCTCCTTGTTTCTACGCTCACTGTCCATTTTATCAGCTCCACTTACTATATAGGTGCACTTTGTAGTTCTACAGTTACAGACTGTAGTCCATCTGTTTCTCTGATACTTTGTTAGCCCCCCTTTACCCTGTTCTTCAGTGGTCAGGACCCCCATGGACCCTCACAGAGCAGGTACTATTTGGGTGGTGGATCATTCTCAGCACTGCAGTAACACTGACGTGGTGGTGGTGTGTTAGTGTGTGTTGCGCTGGTCTGAGTGGATCAGATACAGCAGTGCTGCTGGAGTTTTTAAACACCTCAGTGTCGCTGCTCCACCAACCAAAAATATCCAGCCAACAGCGTCCTGTGGGCAGCGTCCTGTGACCACTGATGAAGGACTAGAGGATGACCAACACGAACTGTGCAGCAGCAGATGAGCTATCGTCCCTGACTTTACATCCACAAGGTGGACCGACAAGGTAGGAGTGTCTAATAGAGTGGACAGTGAGTGGACACAGTGTTTAAAAACACAGTTGTGATATAAACTGAGTCTGTTCTACAGTTTCTCATTAGGTTAAATGAATAACTGACTCTAAATGTAAATTCAGATGGAAAAACCGAAACACACCTACGAGCATAAGAGGAAGATTTGACTGAAAATTAAATAACTGAATGGTGGTACTGTGTATGTGTGTGATTTGTGTTTGCACTCACAGTAATTTTGGTGGCGTTGTTGAGTGCGTTGACCCAATCTACAAGGTCCTGCTGGTCGTTAGCCTGCAGAAAGAACTTCCTCATTCCTGCATTAATGACTAGAGAGAGAAAAAAAGAGGGACGAGAGATAGAGGGAGAGAGAGACAGACAGACACTGAACGAAAGTAAGTGGAGCATAAAGATCAATAATTAGAGCACAAGTCAACCGTGTGGTCACATATCAACTGCACATGCCGAGCTACAACAGTCTACATGCCTCACTGATGAAGAACGAAATAGGATCTGATGTGTCTCAGTAAGAAGCAACAGATAACTGTTAAATTTGTCTGGACTCTGAGTGCAAGTGAGACTGTAGGAGCGTGTGAGTCTGTAAACTCAGCAGGTCGAGTTGATGAAGTGAGTAATGCTGCAAGCTCTGCAGAGAGTAGGCAACACAACGGACAGCATTCTTTCTATCTGACAAGCAGACTCTCACACTCCTGTGTGTTCTGCTTTGTGCTGAAGGGTGACATTCATGCACAACTACATCACTATTCTCACTTCTGGGGTACAATTTTACCCTTTAAAAACCCTGCAGATGGGTCATTCTACAGAAACGACCGTTTTTGTGTCCCTAGCGTTTACAGATATATTACACTTAAAAAAAAAAAAAGTTAGGGCTACATTTTTTTTTTATATTTTAAAATAAAACAATAAGTTATTTTAACAATTACACCTTCTTGAGCCTCAATTTAGCAATACTGTTTTTTAAATCAATTATTTAGAATTCCAAACACCACAGAAGAGCTCGTCCTCACAGTCATGTGTAAAGGCTGAGGCCATAATTTTTGAAAACCTTTTTCTGCAATTTTAACTGCAATAATCTATACACGACTGTGAAATATATGATTTAAATGACAAAGAAAAATGCCAAATAAATATTATAAAATATATAATGAAAGTTGTCGTCCCCAGGAGTCGTGTCACTGGTGTTACCGCGTAACACTGATGACATCACTCGACTTCCTTTCACCTGTTTTCTGAGGATCTATGAAGAAAAGCTCATGGTGAGTCCACTGAGTCTTTCAGTTATCAGAGATTTTCTCATTTAGCTCATGATTTCATATGAAGCTTTTAGCTGAAGTCACTGGTGTGACCGACTTTATTCTGAGGTAATTGTGAAAAAATAGAATACAAATGGATTAAATTACATATTTTAGTGGATATTCCATGACTGACAACATGTGGTTTGATGCTCTGTAGCAGCCATTTTGTAAAATGCATTTTTCATTAATAATGTCTCTGGTGTTACCTTTATTATGTGTAACACCAATGAGGACCAGTAACACCAGTGACTCCTATGGATAGACAGAAAAATGGATGTTTCTGTAGAATGACCCACGTAAGGAATTGGTGAAAAACGTGGCTCAAATGTTCGTGTTTACACTGGGGCTGAACAATACGGGCAAAATACTAGTATTCTTCCCATTCTGAGTGTCCAGCATACTGGACTTTTTTATTTTTTTACACTGGTATTCCAGCTCTATCCACCTTATTTTGGAGCTAGACACTCACCACACCCTTTCGACTGACTGGTCAGTTATTAGAAGGTTTTCTTTTACATGGCAGCTGGCAAGGTAAGGCCCTCGCCACCCCCAGGACCAAATGACTACGTACACAAATTTTAAGACAGATTTTAAACTAATATCTTATATTTAAGAGTGACAGTACATAATATTCTAAAAATCTGAAAAAATTGGGGAAAATATTGTTATTGTTTTGTTTTGTTTTTCTCATTGTAATTTCAGAATACTGGACATTTGAAATTAGGTGCAAGTCTGCAATTTCGCAATATTATCATGTCCAGTTTTGAGACTGAGGAGGGCATTATGATTATATTCGCAATTTGCCTGGCAATATTAAAAAATAAACTGGTAAACCAAGAATGTGACAAAGATGGCCTGCATTATTTTGACTTTTGTTGGACATGAATACCTTCATCAGAAACTAATCTGGAATTGTGATTGGTCAGGATGCTCTGAGCACATAGTTTAAAATAAATAAATAAATAAAAAAAAAGTGGTGATTGACTCATTTGCATATTGCAGCCTTCTGCAATATTAGTATTACAAAGACCAGTATTGTGATAATGATTGATATGAGATACACTGCTGTGCACACCCACGCAGTGAGTGAATGAGTGACTAAACTCTGATGGCTTCTCTCTCTCTTCCCTCAGCCTTGGCCTGAGTGATGAATCACAGGCTTCTTACTGTAACCCTCTATCCTGGAACACTCATTGAAAACAAGACCTCAAACCACAGCCTCCTAAAACAGGTTTTAATAAACAAGCTGTGTGTTACTGACAAGTTCTCCAAATGAAAATAAGCACAATGCTCAGTCTACTGGACAACAAGTATTTGAGTGTTTGATTTAACTGACCTATAGTACCAAAAACATGAGTTTTTATTAAAATTTAACAACAGCTGTTGTCTTTTTTACATGATTTCATCCGCAAACTATTCAGGAGACCATGGCCAGTCTAATGGAGGTTTTTCATGGGGTGTTTTGCAACATTTATTGTGTGGGTTAGTGCTCAAAACTTGAAAACTAAATAGGAAAAACTAAAAAAGCATAACTGGAAAATCTACAATGGCGTTTTAGGGCCACTGTTAATAAAAATAAGAACAGTAGACCTCAAGAAAAAAAGTCATACTATTTTGAGAAAAAAAAGTCGTAATATTTTGATGATAAAGTGGGCTAACTGTAGGGGGGCTAACTGTTGGGGGGCTGCCATAATGCACTGGGGTCTCGGTTGCTGTACTGGCGCCGGAGCTCCACTCACTCCTGTCTCTCTGTGGATCATTTTGATCATCATTCTCACTGTCTGTGAAACTTCATGCCCTCTTTGAATGGGGGGAGATGTAGCCCCCGATAGCCGTGTAGACGACCCTGCCTGAGATTCTCCTTCAACAAAACAGACAGACAGTTTCCTCCGAGTCCGTCTGGCTCTTTATTCTAGATTAACACAGTTTCCTGCTCAGCCGTTTCAGCCGGTTCTTATACTATAACAGGCTGGTGCTGATGTGCAGGAGAGACAGGGAGACTGAGTGTTTCTTTATGGGTGAATCCATATGAAAGTAGAACTCCACCAACTCACCGCCCCTCATTTAACACGAGGAGGTGCTGCCTTTCCTTTGCAAAGCTTTTGGCCACAATATTCCGACCTTTCCTGGTATTAATGCTACCAATGCTACTAATGCTATTTCTCGAAATATTACAACTTTTTCCTCTAAATATTATGATTTTAATCTCAAAGTCTACTATTTTTATATGTATTAACAGTGGCCCTAAAACGCCGCCGTAAAAATCATAAGGTGCTGTATGTTTTTTGTTTTTTTTAAACATAGCAGCTGTGAGTGCACTACTAAAAGTCACAAAAACTCAATGCACTTACCAAAGCAGAACTCAGCTTTTGGTCTTAGCTTGGTGGCATCACTGACCTGCCAAGGAACACAGGAAAAAGACTGAACTAAAGGCACACTGGTGGTTTTGTTACCTGCTCAAAACTGGTACCAAAAGGACCTAATGGTACTCGAGGGCGTTCTCTTCTCTGTTTGCTTAAACTTTCAGAAAAATTGGCATCAATTTAACTAATTCTTTACTCTTCCAGGAAAAGACAGTCAACAAGCACTTACATCACCAACAAGTGCACCAGACTGGACATAGAATCTTGATTGCTATTTTTACGATTATTACTTAAAGAGTTTGCTAAGGTGATATAACCTAGAATAAACGCTAGTGATGTTATTTGCATTTACAGTAGCCTCCCCACAATCAGTGTTTTTGCTCATGTGCACACTTTGAGAGAAAAAAAATGCATTAAATTCTGCACATAATTCAGTGTAACTGTAAAGAGCAGGGAAAATAGCTCAGATATCTACTGAGCAACATAGCTAATACATTCAGTTCACACCCTAAAGAGAAAAAAGTGAACATCTGCTTGACTCTACATGAGTTTACTGTACAAATGCAGACATTTTTTGTGATTGCAGTTCATTATTTCATGCCAGTACAACATAGTGTAACCCATAAGTAAAGCTAACTAGCAAACGAGGTAGCTAATCAGCCAAATTAGTCACTTTACACCAAAAAGACAAAATCATTAACTGAGGGTATTCCAGCTGTGTGTGTGTGTGTGTGTGTGTGTGTGTGTGTGTGTGTGTGTGTGTGTGTTCGTACCGTTGTAAGTACCCTGGCGCACTATGGCTGCCGCTTTACATCGGTTTTGTGTTTGTTTTGTACTGTTTGTGTGAATGTTTTAAAGTTTCCCTGCTGGCTGAGGAATCTGCCATCATTCCACCGAGACAACAGCTGAGAGTGACTTTCCACCTGTGGCTCAGAGACTTCTTGGACTGGCTGTTTGGGTGATGCTACATCAAAGCTACACTGATCAGGCATAACATTATGACCACCTCCTTGTTTCTGCGCTCATTGTCCATTTTATCAGCTCCACTTACTATATAGGTGCACTTTGTAGTTCTACAGTTACAGACTGTAGTCCATCTGTTTCTCTGATACTTTGGTAGCCCCCCTTTACCCTGTTCTTCAGTGGTCAGGACCCCCATGGACCCCCACAGAGCACGTACTATTTGGGTGGTGGATCATTCCCAGCACTGCAGTAACACTGACGTGGTGGTGGTGTGTTAGTGTGTGTTGCGCTGGTCTGAGTGGATCAGACACAGCAGTGCTGCTGGAGTTTTTAAACACCTCAGTGTCGCTGCTGGACTGAGAATAGTCCACCAACCAAAAATATACAGCCAACAGCGTCCTGTGGGCAGCGTCCTGTGACCACTGATGAAGAACCAGAGGATGACCAACACAAACTGTGCAGCAGCAGATGAGCTATCATCTCTGACTTTACATCTACAAGGTGGACTGACAAGGTAGTGTCTAATAGAGTGGACAGAGAGTGGACACTAATGTGTTTAAAAACTCCAGTATCTCAATTAATCAGATCTAGAATCATAAGTTCCAGTGGTTCCAATTTAGGTGAGTTTTTTTTTTTACAATGTGGAAAAAAGGTCCAAACTAATTACTGCTGGTTCTGGTATCCACAGTGTTAACTGGCATCTCAGTAGGTGATGCATCTCTGTGAAGCGTCTCAGAGTGTTAAAATACAATAAAAAGGATGCTAAATTACACTATATATATTTTTTTTAAACTAAAGCAATAGCAGAATTGTCCAACAGTACCATACGTCTATCAAACCATGCACACAAAAGCAAAACATGAATCTTACTTTGGATATGTAGGTGAGTTTGAGTGAGCCCACACATTCGGCCCCTATCGGTAGATTCTGTAAAAGCAAAAACAAATAAAAAAAATTACAGTACCAACAAACACTTCAAAATCACTTGGAAAAAAAATGTCAAAGTGAAAAAGTCAATATTCCTCCTATGAACAAAACTATGTACACATACAGCCTATTCATCCTCATAACCCATGTTACACACAGTGCACCTTTTGTCCCATGGTTTAAAGCCTCTGTAAACAGGGTTAATGCTTATAGGTTTTGTCTTAATGGCAAAGATATGCTATGGAAAGCGTTTATCAGTGTTATATTGAAGAATTATACAACACTCGGTTCGGCCACGGAAGCTGATTGGTTGAGAGGCGTTTTGACCATGCTGTTATTTTGCCACGTTTTTTTTTTCACAAACACTGTATCACTCCACTGAGACACTGTTGCTAAGCAACGACTTTGACAGCTGTAGGAGACGCTCAAGCCATTTGAACATATTTACTTCTTACTTTGCCACAAACAGAAAATGGACACTTTTAAGATCACATTTGACCGACGGCCGATTTGGTCAGACTCTGAAGATGAGGCTACACTAAATTCCCAAACTGTCATCACCACTGAGCAGCTTTTCAGTCGGCAGCTGTGACAGAAGAACAGCTAAACAACCTGGAATCAGCCAGAAATGAACCCAACACCGTTCGCCAAACTAAATGGGCCGTAAGATGCTTTACAGACTGGCTGGAACAAAACAACATTAATACTGATCTGGCAGAAATTGACAAAACTGAGCTGAACTTGATATTGTGGCAGTTTTACGGCTCAGTCTGATTTGGTCAGACTCTGAAGATCAGACTACACGTTTGGTGAATGGCATTGGGTTCATTTCTTAACTGTTTAGCTGTTCTTCTGTCTCAGCTGCTGAACGAAAAGCTGCTTAGTGGTGATGACAGTTTAAGAATTTAGTGTAAGGAGCTGGAGAACGAACTGCTGGCTGTGCAGCGAGTGGGCGGAGTTCATTCAGCAACAAGCTGCTTGTTAAGGAACTATAATTTGGTGAAGGAACTGCGAACATTAAAACATATTAAACGCCGCGTTCACGACCCAGTTTACTAATTTATTACTTTATTTATTTAACTGTTGTATAAAAGCAATAGAACACTCGAGGAGTGTGTTATCGCCAATAACATCACAGCTGTGATGATCTATGGCGCCCAAATGTGATGTTATTTTGCTACAACACACTCCCTCTCATATTCTATTGCTTAAATACATGTATTTTAATGGAAGGTAAATGCTCTATAATTTCCACACTACTGCTGCTCAGCCTTGATGTTGGGGGGGTAGCTAACATACCATTTTATTCGTGCAGTTAAGGTGGTCTGCTAACTATCGCGTTCTCTTAACTGAAGAATCAATCACTTATAGTACGATCCTGCAACAGGTGGCTAATGCAGGTAGGAAGCAGAGTCTGGCTACATTACAAACAAAGGTGTAATAAGCCTAAATAAGCTACTTGGCTGGAACTTGGAGCAGTTGGAGAGCAGTCATTTTATGTGAGGGATGTGGACAAGCAGGTGATGTTATACACTGCTAACAATGACTGGTACTTTGGCAGCTCTGACATCATCTGCACCAATTTAATCACACCCAACTCAAACTGAACAGAAGAAAACGGCAAAAGAAAAGGCATTAAAAAAAAGCCAAGAGCATTCCTTCTCTGCCAGTTCATAGTGAAAACATCACAAAAACTACAGAAAATACATGGAAATCATGAAAATGAGCAGAGGCTATAAAGGGAAACTCAACCTGTTTTGTGAAATTACTTAATCGTTCAATAGTTTCGATGTGAACAAAATCAAACAAACAGTGCTTCGGTGTGAAATGCGCCTTTCTAGAGAAATTTATCACGTCAAAATTGTTCACCATTATAGTACTAGGAACCAGACGTCTGAAGCATTTAATGGGTCTTAAAGCTACGTCCCGTTAAGTTATTACACAAAACGGTTATAAATGTGTTGCTTGATACCTGAGGCATTGTTTTGTGTGTCTCTAAAGTGTCTCTAACTCTGCAAACTCTGTGTAGTTTTGCCTCATGTAATTACACAAGTGTGTAGTGTTAAAGTTAGACTAAAATAAGTGGACAGTTCCTGTGTAGTTGTTATGTAGGTACTGTGTAATAATGGAGTAGTAACTGCTTTGGGGGTAATGTAACATTTAATTAACGTCATAAAAGTAAAATTTTAAGATAAGGGGGCGTCTGCTGTTCTGTCACATTACAGAATGGTTTAAACTGGTTACAGTGTCACAGCACTAGCAACATAAATGCTAGCTAAATGTTAGGAAAGCTGGCAGATACAGTGTCTGATTACAAATGTAATTACATATGTTATTACCCTTGTGTAATTACATGAGAGAGAACAGACTGTTACAACTATTAAGATACACTTGTGTAATTACATGAGGCAAAACTGAAGTTGATACACGTGTAATTACATAAGGTGTAGTTCTGTAATCCATCTGTAACAGTGACTAAATCATTAGTAGTTACATTGTTGTTGCATATGTTCACATGTAACTACACAGTTATTAGAGACAATACAAAGTGGGACCAGATATTTTTAGTTAAAATATATTTAACGGAGTTAGTTCTGTGTTTCCTGTCAAAACCGCATTATCAGTATCACCAACACGCTTTTGTAGTTAGTTACTAGCTTGTAGCTATAGCCGTTCAACATGGCTAAAGCCGGTGTTGTATCCGATTCAGTTCCTCCTCAAATTCACGTTCCCTTTGATAAATCAGGTCCTCAGACAGATAATCATGCCAAAAGTTTCAAAAAAGGTTTGTACGACAGCTGTATTCACGTATTCGGCAACGAACAGTACACAAAGTATTTTTCAGTACAATTGTTTACTGTTTATTTGAATTGAAAATAATATTCATCACGGAATCTCAATTATGCCGTGTTATCTTGGGTGATTTATATTGGATATTGGGTGAAAACACGCATCCGTTTTCTTTTTTTTTAATCTTTTATTTTTAACCTTTTCGCTTTCCGTAGTTCCACTGTTGCTTGGCGTTGTTCAGTGAATGCACCGCCCGAGGTTCCTTGTCAAATGGAATGTGAATTTGAGGGGGAACTGATTCAGATGCAACACCGGCACCGAAGCAGAAGAACCCAGAGTGAACGGCGTCAACAACAAACTACTTGCTGGGGCAGGACAGCAAGGTGAACTGTGATCTACTGCAGCTCCTCTGATGAATAACGTTACTTGCATAAGCTCTGAGGTTTGCTAACTGTGTGACGAAATACCGCCAACCCAAATAACACAAACGTGCCGGGTGGAGAGGTACATGCAGGGCGTTAAAAATAGCAGTCAAAAAAAAATATTTTTTTAATTTAGCACTATTTTACTATTATCAGCATCACATATAAAACCTTATAAGACACATAGTTCACTGGTCATTTTTAATAGTAGATAAAATGGTGATATTTGTGGTGCAGACATACGGTCGTCTGGTTCCTAGTACTACAATGGTGAACAATCTTGACTCGGTAAATTTCTTTAGAAAGGCGCATTTCACACCAAACCACTCTGAATGATCTTGTTTACATCCAAACGGTTCAATGATTAGGTAATTTTGCAAAATCGGTGGAGTTTCCCTTTTAAGAAAGCCTATCTTTAGAAGCTGGAGGTTGCCTCAGCAGAATGCAGACTTGGGGCAGGTTGAAAATTAACAATGGCTCAGGGCAAAACTAAGGAAACGTTTAGGCTATTTACAGTGACAACAGGTGAAATATGATTTCAGTCCACCTGCAGGCAACTTAGTCACCTGTAGCTGTTGGATCAGTCTAAGATACGTTTTAAAAAAAAGCTGCCAGATTGTTTAATGACTGAGCTAATGAGCTGAACCATCACTGGAAAATATGCCTAACGAAGAACATGCAAGGTAGGAAGAAATACCCTCAAAAAGACAAAAAACATCCCATCAAATTAAAAAAACAGAAGGCGAAATCTGGACCTTGATAAAGAGATTAATTTCTGGCACTGTCCGTTTCCGTACCTGTGGGTTGTCCATGTACCAGACCAGGCTGCCCTGCTGGGTGTCCAGTAGGAAGTATCGCCGCAGGAACTTGCCGCTGTTCTCCAGCTCCTCGATGTCGAGGAAGCCGCAGATGCGGTTCTGTCGGTCCACGTAAGGCATTGCTCCTCTTCACTGCTCATTCCCCCCTTCTGGATCACCGCACAGCTGCTGGAGGACAGAGAGCAGTGGTCAGAGCATGAGGAAGTGCATGAGAGCCAGAGAGAGCAAGAGTGAAACTAATGAGTGGTGTTTTATAACAATAAGTGTGCATGACAATATCCAAGAAGTCATCCTCCCCCTCCTTTTTTTTTTCACTTCTTTGGCAGCAGACCAGTAACCCTAACACTGCTGTTAGTCATACTCTCACATCAATCCACACAGGATCTGAATCATAGAATGTGCAGGCAAAGGGTAGCCCCCGCCGTGGCCAAAGTCTGAAGCCTGTAATCAGAGTAACATGTAGGGTTGAGAAGGGTCTGGCTGCAGACATGCACTCTCAGCCGGACATGCACTGCCAGCCTATTGATCACGTCAGGCTACTGAAACTCATGAAAGCCAGGCTGATGATTAGAACCGGTTATCAAAAAACTGTAATATTGATTAAATTAGAACTCATTAAGGATTCTAGAAGGTTGTGACAGCGTACAGCCAACGTGGTACCGATTACTTCTGCTGTCTCGTCAACGTCGTCACAACCTCCTAGAAAGTTGTCAGACAACGTTCATAACTTTCTGAGGAATTACATTTCAACGTTGTGACACTGTAGAGACCACCAAGCAGACGACGCTGTGGGCACTGAAACAATACGTTGTCACAACGTAGCTGTGTTTGCAGGGCCGTTAGGAATAAAACTTGGTGGTTTTGCTTCCTAACAGGAATTGGCTTGATGGTTGCCATTAGAGGCCATTAGGAAATGATCAAATGCGTGCAATCAGCCCCAAAACACCTGATTAAACAATTAGAATCCTTTACACTGTGATATCAACCCATCAGGAACACACAGAATACCAATAGCGACTACTGGACACCACCAGGAACCAAGACTCTTTCAATGGGGAGGTACATTAAATGTAACTCTCTGGCTGTGTTATGGATGAAAAATGGATTAAGTGATGATGTCGCTAAGCAGCAGCAGCCAAAAGTTAACGTGCCGTTGGGCGGCTTCTGCCGTTGTGGCAGAGAGTCACCGGGGCTTATAGCGCATCTGGCCGAGTGCATGTCTGTAGCCAGACTCTATTGATAGGGTTGGATATAGAAAAACAACATGTTTATGGTGCTGACTGAATTTGCATTTTGTATGCATAATTAATGTTTCTGAATTAGTGCCTCGATTAACCCGGTTCAGTCAGTAAGGACAGTACTGTGGGAAAGTCAGAGGCCACCCTTCATCTATCTAATATCCAGTTAAAATGTCCTTCAGGTAAGTTTTTCATTCTTCAGGAAATACAGGGTGATTCAAAAAGATTCATCTGATTTCAAAATGATTTATTTCACGTGTAAATCATTACAGATCAGTGCAGTGAACTGTAAATGGTTTAAATGAGCATAAAGTTTATTATGTAATTGTACAAGGTCTCAGTATGAACCTCCTCCAGCTGTACAGACAACATCAACACCATAGTCAGATTCATCCCATACTGGATTGAGCATGTCGGGTGTCGCTGCACTCACGGCTCTTTCAGTGCGATTTCGGAGATCATCCAGTGTTGTGGAACCAACGCCGAACGCTCTGAGCTGTTGGAGCTTCACTGCCCACGAAAATCACGCTGCACAGTTATGACTGATTCACTCTTATTGAAGTGGAGAACGCAGAACGCTTTCTGCTCAGGGGTCTCATCTCCTCTCAGACTGAAGGGAGTCATGTTCCACTGACAGTCAGAAACTCTATGACTCCCTTATACAATTGGATTGTGATTGGTTCCTATAGGCGCCTCACGGTTGTAAAAGTATGGTGCTCTGAAATCGGAAGAATCTTTTCAATCACCCTGTATTTCGGAGGAGATTATAGATATAAAGTTGCATAAGGAAGGGTAAAACCAACAGATTTAGTCAAAATGGGGTCTTCTAACAACTGTGCAAAATCTGGCAGACCACCAAAACTATCACCATCAGATAAAAAGTATTTAAAGAGCTCCACTCTTCCTTCATATTTAAGAAAAAAAAAAACTAAAAGATGTTTCTGTCCATCCTTCCACTGTGAGAAGACAACTCAGTGCTATGGGTTTCAAAGGATGTGTAGCTATCAAGAAGAACCTCACTGAGAAAAAGAAAAGAGGAACACTTGATAATTAAACAAGGATGCTGCTGGTGTTCTTAGAACAATGAACTGACCATAAATTTAAAATAAAATGCAATTTTCTTCTATAACTGAAATATTGCTGCAATTTTATCAAATAAATGAAAGCAAGTCTCCTGAAACTGGAAGGTGTCAAATCATGGATACATTAAATACTAAAACATTTCATGTTATATTTAGTCGTTTAGCCTTCAGTTAGCCTTTTTTCCCTGACAATGAAAAGTGAACTTGTACTTATTGGCCATTTTAACTGGTGGTCTCAGACTCTTATTAGCGGGCAGGCTATAGACCCAAACAGTGCCACTCACCACAGTACAGGTTTGATTATGACTAACTGTAGCGAGTTAGCTAACGTTAAGGTAATGATAGCGTAGTTAACAGGCTAAAAGTACCACACACCAAAGTACATGACTGGTTCTAATGAACGGCTAAAATTACACACTTCAAAAAATGAAACACTCATATCCAACAGCACAACGTTGAGTGGCTAGTTTTGGAGTGGAATCCAACATGTTCTGTGGTTTATGTAGCTGTTAGTCACTGTTACGCCACTGTTGTGCATAGTTTTCCTGAGGCATTTCGAGGCCCTGATTTTTTTTTCCCCTCTATCAATGAACGACACCACCAATTTTAAAAAACAATGACTTTGGTTCAACGTTTACACACTTCACTGCACTAAATACAGTTAAACCGGACTAAAATGTGCTCTTTTACGAACTTGATTCCAAAAAAAAGTTGGGACAGTATGTGAAATGCTATTAAAACCAGAAAGCAGTGATTAGTTCATTAGTTAATAAAACTGACCTACATTAAATTGAACACGGTACAAAAACACAATATTCTTGATTTGATTAACTTTTTCTTTTTTCTTTTTTTGCTTAAAAAGGGAGTTTAGTTTGAATGGGAGGCAGTTCTGGACTGCAGGCCAGCCAGTCTAGAACCTGCACTTTCTGATTATGCAGCCATGCAGTTGTAACAACACTTCTTGTTGTCATGTTGAAATAAACATTGGTGTCCCTAAAAAAGACCATGTCTAAAAGGCAGTATATGCTGTTGTCGGAAGAAAACCTCGTATCTCCATTTTTCACGTTTTTCAGTTTTCGACATAATTGGAAAATACCTGTTACTCTTTACATTGTGTGTAAATTGTGTGATGAACGGACCAAAAGAAATGGCCCAAAACGAATTGGAAAAATTTCTGGTTCCACTGACTTACATTAAAAGTAAAGTAGGTTTTTTTCCTTCTCCTGTAAAAGTTCTCATATTGGAGATACACGGTTTTCTTCCGAAAACAGCGAAATGCTGTCCCAAAAGGTTTTAAGCATTAATGGTGCTTTTAGAGATGTGCAAGCTACCCACTAATACCCCCCAAACCATGACAGGCCCTGGCTTTTGAACTTTATGCTGGTAACAATCTAGATGTTCATTTTCTTCTTTGGCTCGGGAATACGACGTCTGTCATTTCCATAAACAATCGCATCACATGTTTCCACTTTGCATCAGTTTATTTCAGATGAGCTTGGGCCCAGAGAAGTGGGCAGCATTTCTGGACGTGTTTGACACGGCTTCCACTCAGAACAGTACAGTTTTTCGCACTTGTGGATGCAGCAACAGACAGTGTTTACTGACAAAGATACACAGTATATTTCTGAACCCATGTGGGTTCCATCATGGAGGCATGCTCATTTTTAAAGCATTTCAACTTTTTGAAATGTGTCGCAGGCATCAATTTCAGAAGGAACTTACATTTACAAAAAAAAAAAAATGAAGTGGTTAAGATAAAACATTAAATATATTGTCTTTGTACTGTTTCATTCGAATACAAGTCAAATCAATGCTTTCTGATTGTAACTGCATTTTACCTACTGTCCACAAAAAAGTGCTAGTAGTTCCACATTTCAAAAAACAATGACTTTGGTTCAATGTTTGCACACTGCGCTGCACTAAATACAGTTAAACCGGACTAAATGTGCTCTTTTATGAACTCAATTCCAAAAAAAAAAGTTGTCTTTGTACTGTTTTCATTCGAATACAGATCAAATCAATGATTTCTGATTGTAACTGCATTTTACCTACTGTCCTAACATATTTAGAATTGGGTTTGTAATTAAAATGCAGTTAGAGTTCTTCGGTAAAATTTCCATCATACTGTCATCTCATACTACTTGCTTGGTAATGCTTTCATTTTTGACAGAAAATGTTATGCAGTATATCCGCCTGGAGGCTATGCAAGGGTGCTGGTAAAGGGTCAAGGACTATCTTTCATGGACATGCTTGTTCACACATTCCATGTTTTAGTACATTTGCAAGGTCAGCAGATACTCATTGCACAACTATGCAGCAATAAAGTCACTGGTTATGGTAATTATTGACCACTGCAAAGCCAGACAGGACACTACTGGGGTCTTACTGGGGCTGTTACAATGACACTGAAAAGGAAGCAAGGCCAGGAAAGATCTTCTTGGGCTGGATATGTCTGCACAAGAGAGTCTACAATAAATCTATAAATAAATGCATTAATAGAGAAATGATAGAGAAATTGTCAGTTTTAACCATGTCACCAGTGAGTCAACCTAAGCCAACGTGCACAAAACCACATATTAAGCAGCTTGAGAGATGACAAAGAACCATACTAATTTTATGTGTAGTAATGAACACAATTAGAGATGCACTGGAATTCCAGTCACTGGAATATTAAGGCTGAAAGAGAAGAAAGAAAACAAACAACAAAAATAAATAGGTCTACAACGAGGCAGCAAAATCCCACACTTAACAAACACAGGGTGATTCAAAAAGATTCTTTTTTGAAAGAACTTAAAAGATTCAGAGAATCTGGAGAAATCTCTGCATGTAAGGGTCAAGGCTGAAA